TACATTACCGATGACAGAGCCTTTCTTCATCTCCTCTGGAATAGAATACCGGATCTGACCACCGACCATGTTAAACACATGAAGCAGCAGAATAAAGAATCCGATTTGCCGTCGCAGTCCACATAACAATCGCCATCTTAATATGTAGGTTAGAGAATTCACAGTCGCCATCACTGAAGGGAAAAAGACGAAGGAAAAAAGTTTTGATCCTTCTGATTTTTAGGTAAAACAGCTCCGAGTAGATCCGTTTTCCAGTTACATCGAAAAACACCTACACCGTGTACATGTCAGTCTTTCAGACCGTGCTCGCCCGAAACCTCGACAAAACACAGAGAACCTCCTTCACTGTATATCCAGTCAGGGGATGGACTGAATGAGGAGACAACCCAAAATGTTTTGCTGATCAACAGCGTCCCTTAGAGTCGAAAAGATGGAATTGAAACGAGGCCGAGACAACACCAGCACAAATAAACTAACACAAGCAGAGGGTCTCCGTCAATTCTGAATGTGGCTGATTATCGAGATACTATTTATGAAAGGACACTTTAGGAAAAAAAAAAATAAACTGATTAAATGAAGAAGAGTGAAGTGCTAAAAGTGTAAGTTTGTCACTCTTCTGAACAATATGCTTGTAATGCAGCATGTCGTAATGACTGAGGAAAATACAAAAGAGCTGCACACGTGATGTCAAAAATGTATGTACTGACGAAAATCCACATGTTGTCATTATGAAACAACATCAAGTCATACAAACAGAAAGGCATTTGCTTCCTAGAAATTTAATCGGACCTGACATGAACATGAAGCTGTCAATGTAGTAACATCCAGAAATTATACGTAGTTATGTGTTATATAAATGTAGTGTATTAGTATGACGCTAACATTGTTGTTGTTTATTTGTAACAAAGAACATAAATGACATTTGCAAAAAGAATCTTAGATGTTGAACATAAAACTTTCGATCGCAGCTTTTAAATGCATTATTGCGGAAAACAATGCGATGTGATAAAGTGCTGTGAATATTGTGAATGTTTTTGGAACTCTATTTTAAAATACATGTATAACGATGTATGAAATACTCGATCACAGCTACAAGTCATACGTTTAACTAGTGAACCAGGAAATGCGTAGAAGCTGAGGAAAACAGCTCATCAACTAACGTAAACCAGCTGGGTTACTGTCCATGGTGCTGAACACGAAGACACTGCTGGCAATTGTACATTATTAATACAACAAAAAAGCTAACAGAAAAACAGTACATGAGACACACAGGATGAAGCAAAACTTTCAACTGACCTCTAAAGGAGAGTCTGGTTCGTCCAGGATGCTCTTCTCACTCTGCATCCGCTGCATCGTTCCTGTACAACTCGGATCCATTATCAGCACGTTCTGACTACCAGCTCTGCCGAACTTNGTAGGTGAGACAACTCACATTCGTCATCATGGCAAGAAGAAAAATCGAAAAAAATAATCTTTATCCTGCTGATATGCTGCTACAACGGCTCCGAGTATATCCGTTTCTCTGTTACATCTAAAAACGTCTTCGACATTTACATGTCAGTCTTTCAGACCGTGCTCGCTCGAAACCTCGACTAAACACAGAGAACCTCCTTCACTGTATATGCAGTCAGGGGACGGACTGGATGACGAGGCAACACAAAATGTTTTGCTGACCAACAGCGTCCCTTAGAGTCGAAGAGATGGAAATGAAACGAGGGTAAAATCACTGCACGAGCACTTGGGGGGAAAAAAAGCACAAACAAGTACCAGCTCTTAGTCTATTGTTGGAAGGCGCTGGCAATTAATTTATATTTGTCAGTTCAAGCGCACTTTGAAACAGTACATGCCGTTTTAATTAATTCAATGAGAAAGAAAACACTGACACAAAGTCTACATTACATCTCAGTGCAATGTGTACAACACAGGAGGAAGCAACGACTCAAGGAAATTCAATGAAACTAAATACATGAGCCACAAAATATATGTAGATCAGGAAATATACTTGGCGTCATTATAAAACCACGGCAATGAGTCTGAACTGAAAGACCTTTGCAGCTAAGACATTATAGAGAATGAAACTATTGTTCCCTCTCATGGAATAATATGCACACATTCTGTGGAATGGTACACTCCATGAGTATCACGAAATAAAATAGCATCACAACTGCAAGCTAATGTGAGGTCCTCGTTTGTAACGAGTTAATTGTCAGTTGTAATTGGGGGGTAGTAAGAAAATGGGAAATGTTGATGATGTGCGCAAAAGTACAGTATCATCGCTACTTTGAGAACTTTACATTTAAACACAAAGACAATATGTAGATTACAGAAGGTTTGACAGCTGCAAGAAGTACTATGCACCACTGAACCATTTGGAGAAGCAGAGGTAGAAATCTAGTCAAGCGATAAAAAAAAAAACACAAGTTCTGTCCATGGTGCTGAACGTGACAGTGGCACACAAGTGTGCATTAACAATGCAACTAAAAGCAAGCAAAAACACAGGACATGAAACAAGCAGGTGGCAAAACTTTTCAACTGACCTCTAGAGGAGAGTCTGGTTCATCCAGGATGCTCTTCTCACTCTGCATCCGCTGCATCGTTCCTGTACAACTCGGATCCATTATCAGCAC